ACTGGGGAGTCCAGGTTGGAGCGCTGAAGCATTTCACAGGTTATAAAGAGAAGGTGAGGAGGAGAACCTTCAGCTCAGTGTGAGATTGAATCAGTAGGAGATGGGCTGATGAGTTCAGGAGATGAACCTTCAACCAGTTCAAGTTCATAGATGAGACCAGAGAGCAGAAAATGACCATGATGAGAAGAAGAAGGACCAACGGCCTGAGGGAGACGAGCTGCTGGACGTGTTTAAAAGAGCGTGGACGCAACGAGAGAGGCCAGCTGAGATTTTCTGAATTAAATGTGTTTTCAAACTCACACCTGAGGACAGAATCTCCAGCTGTGACTGAGGAACGCTGACATTAGGAATGGTCATGACAAAATGAGAAGTTATTCTGTATCACGGTGGAGTTTGAGGAATCTTTGGCCAATCAGATGATTTTTATTTTATCTCATTATCTTATAGGAGAAGAGAAGAAGACAAGAGAACAGGAGCTGGGAGTCGTAACAATATGAATACACCTGTTCATTTATTATAATAAAAAAAATAAAACAATGAAAAAATAAATAAAATGGTTTGCATCAAAATATCTTTAAGAAATGATGGACAGGTTGATGAAAAAGAAAATCAGTTTATATTGAAGCTGAACCATAACATGAGGACTAAACCTTAAATTAATTAATTTATGATTCCCAAGTATGATTTACTGTCAACAATAAAATGGTAAAAATCTCTGTTTATGCAGTGATTTTTTATAGAATGCATTTTAACGAGCACTAAAATGATTATTTTTATTTTAAAAAATGAATCAAACAATTTAATTAAATGAAAACAATTGAGCTAAAAGTGTAACAAAGTAAAAACCAACAAGTTAATTAAACTCGGATCACTTAAAGGAACTGAGCCTTGAATCATTTGACATTAAGAACTCAGATTAATAAAAAACTTAATTTGTAAAGTGAATAAAGGCAAACTGGGCAGCACGGTGGTGCAACTGGTAGAGCTGCTGCCTCTCAGCGAGCAGGTCCCTGGTTCAAATCCCGGTCCAGGGACCTTCTGGGTGGAGTTTGCATGTTCTCTCCGTGCATGCGTGGTTTTCTCCGGGTGTTCCGGTTTCCTCCCACAGACCAAAAACATGCATGTTAGGCTGATTGGTAACTCTAAATTGTCCCTAGGTGTGAGAGAGAGTGAATGGTTGTTTGTCTCGTTTGTCTCTATGTGTCCCTGTGATGGACTGGAGACCTGTCCAGGGTGTACCCCGCCCCTCGCACAGTGATTGCTGGACATGGGCATCGGTGACCCCCGTGACCCAAAACGGAATAAGCGGGTGAAGCAAATGGATGGATGGATGAATAAAGTTAGAAACGTTTGGTCATTTGAATTAAATAATTTTATTTCAACCTTGGAATTTATTTTGAGTTAACAAAACTTAAAAATGATCCAAAACACAAACATTTATGTTTCTGTACAGCTTATATGTTGAATGAAGTTACTCCAACATTTAATGAACATTTCCGTGACAGTATTCTTTAATTGAACTGACTTGTTGGAGTTTATAGTCCCCCACTGAGTGGCAGCCAGAGTCATGAGCCCTGTCTCATCTCATTTGTATCGTTTTCTTGTATTCATGTTACATGTAACCAGCTAAAACTATTTAACCTCCTGCATCTTTAAAAAAAAAAGAAGAAGAAGACCGTTACCTGGTGGGGTCATAACTGACGTGACCTGAGATTTCAACTCGTGTGCCCTTGAGCAACACACAAACATTTAGTCCAACGATCATGGCAGTCGTTGTCACTGAACGAGCTGCAGAGCTGCAGCCCTGATTCCTCCATCATCTCAGACAACAAGATGACAGGAAACACAAGCTGAGGTCTGCATGACACAATGGATGTTTTCTGCAGCTCCGTCCGCGCTGCCGGAGTTTCTGCTAAACTTCATCTTGATGTTCTCAGTGATGCAGCTCATTGCACTGAAAGAAGCCGCTCACGTCCCACTTGTCCTTGAGCTGCATCACAGATGAAAGACTTTCACCTTGATCTCTCCACAGAAGCTTCGTTGCACGAGACATGGACGGACATGATTTTTGTGGCTTCTCTGGATTTAAAAAAAACAACCCTGGCATGACTTTGTCGACACACGTTGATCGTTTTAAAGTCCTTATCGTTTTAAGAACAGCCTCTTTCAGCAGTTTACAATCAACTTGGCAGGATGTCTTTTTTTTTTCTGGCTTCTTTTAATAGATAACACATTTTGTTTTTATTGCTGTCTAACTTTAGAGTCAGCTGACGGTGACACGCGTGTTGTTGCAACAGCGTGACTCTTCACACTCGGAGGCGGTGTCACATTCCAGATTCCTCTAAAGGCTCCCAAAGTCACCTTGACCTGTTTGGACAAGTTGTACATTATTCTGTAAAACATTTATTTAAAAGTACATTTTTATTTTCTCGTTCAGATAAATTCAGTGCATCAGTTTTCTGATGAACTAACAACTGCACCATCAAATGTTGAGCTCATCCTAGCTGAGAAGAACATGTTTCATGTGGCAGAAGCTGTGGGATGTGGAAGCAAACACGATCAGCTTCATTGTTGGAGCCACGGAAGATGTGCCCCCTCTCCAACAAACTCGCCTGTGATGTGCCGTCTTTTGCTGCACTGTTTGTGCTTCTCATGGGATGTTTGAGGAGTGCACACTTGGCATTACAACCAAGTACTGAGGTTTGGCCTCAGCCCTGAAGCATGAGAGAATAACAATACTTCTCAAAATGTCAAGTCACCGGCCTGTGCCCACATCTGGTCTTCTCTTCTTGTTCTTGCGTCTTCGTTGTTGAGCTGAACGTTCATCGGCAGGTTGGCACTGATGAGGTGAATGAAGTGAAAAGGCTGTGGTGAACCAACCCAACCAAACCAAGCTGAGGTTAGAGAACAGTGCTGAAAGTGACGGCGTCTCCCCTGGAAATGGGCTGCAGGAGTTTTGTAACCAGTTTCACCACCAGTGTGCAGAACAAGTTGGGGGTTAAAGGTCAGGCCTTGCAAAAGGTAATTAAGGAGATGTCAACTATTGTTGAATGAAGTCACTAATGGCTGAGGCTGAAGTTGGCTGCCAGTGACCACGACACACACCCAGGTTTGATCATCAACAATAAAGATGACTGACCCCTGATAACATCTAAAGAAACGTTGTGCCTAGTTGATTTATACATTTTAATTATGGAGTTTTCCATAAAGCTCCAGCTTGTGTCGCTAACACAAATAGAAATAGAGAGAGAGAGTACCCCGGTCTCGTACAGCATTGCAAATCAAAGTAACTGGATACGTCACAGTTAGTGGGACTGATCAAAAAAACTGCTAGAATATTATAATTATTGAACAACAATTGAGCCTTAATTTTCTTTAGGTATGAAAGCATTTATTGTGATGTGCGTTCTTTCACAAGACAATTTGACAAGTTGTTTGAAAATATAAAAACTATCCTATAGGAGAGTTCATGTCAGGTCAAGGATTTATCCGTGTTGCTGTAAAACCACTGCGCTGTGTGCAGACATACATTTATGTGTCACTGTGTGATATACAGTACATGCACTCAGCGTAGGATCAGGGACACAAAGAAAATGTTATACATAAATAACATTTTCATCATTTTTCACTGTAACCTCTCGGGGTTTCCTGGAGCCAAAAGAAACACATGATGATCAATAGAGCGCACCTATTTGAAACATTTTTATCTCTGCTTTAAACACTTTTTCTTCCCAAATAACATTTGAGTCAGTGAAAAAAAAAACAAAGAACTAATCTGTTTAAAACAAATCATCCTGCTTCAAGGGAAAATAAATGATCAACTTGTATTAGCATTGTAAGTTATCAATAATAAAGAACAACAGAGAGTTGTTGTACACTGCAGATGTTGAGCATGCTCATAGAGCAGTCTTGTTCTTCATGGACAGGAGGCGTCTTCCAAATGCAAAGAACGTCAACCGGTTCCTTAAAAAAGCTAAAATTATGTATTTAGCAACCAAATTATATGATTTTTTTTTATATTGGCTGAGACTAGACATCACTTTTCCTACAACTGATGCTTTAAGGTTCAGTCAGGACTCATTCCTGTGCATCAGTCATTCTTCAGTCATTTGTCAGTCATTCAGCAGTCATTCAGCAGTCATTCTTCAGTCATTCAGCAGTCATTCTTCAGTCATTTGTCAGTCATTCAGCAGTCATTCAGCAGTCATTCAGCAGTCATTCAGCAGTCATTCAGCAGTCATTCATCAGCCATTCTTCAGTCATTCATCAGTCATTCCTCAGTCATTCCTCAGTCATTCAACAGTCATTCATCAGTCATTCATCAGTCATTCTTCAGTCATTCTTCAGTCATTCATCAGTCATTCACCATGCATTCGTCAGTCATTCGTCAGTCATTCAGCAGTCATTCAGCAGTCTTTCATCAGTCATTCAGCAGTCTTTCATCAGTCATTCTTCAGTCATTCTTCAGTCATTCTTCAGTCATTCATCAGTCATTCAGCAGTCATTCAGCAGTCATTCAGCAGTCTTTCATCAGTCATTCAGCAGTCATTCAGCAGTCATTCAGCAGTCATTCAGCAGTCTTTCATCAG